TACAACACAGCCCTTGTCAGCCAGCCGGGGGCTGAGGTGTCCCCCAGGACTGGTGTCCCTGTCCCCGCCTCATCCAAAGCCTTCCCCGTCGCTTGTGTCACCCGGGGAGCAGCGAAATCCTTCTGGCATCCAGCAAAGCAGCTCCTTTAAACACCCTTTTAACTCAGCTTGAGCCCACTATACCTCCTTTATCCCGTCTTGCCCCTTAGCACAATCTGTTACTTTAAAAAAAGGAGGAAACACCCTTAAAATCTGCGGCTAGAAAGGAAATTACAAATACTCGTGAGGGCACTGAGTACGAAGTAAAAATGACATGGAAACATACCAGGTACTAAAAGCATAAGAGGTAAACATAAGATAGAAAAAGGGTTTGGTTTGTGTGCTGAGAGAACTTGCGATGGGAGCCTGAAGCGCTGCGGTTTAGCTGGGCTGTGTTTGTTTCCATAGGTCACGGCTGCTCTTTGAATTACATCCTGCCCGCCGCGTTCCCCCGGGCTGAGGGGTTACCGGGGCGACACGGTGTAAACTCAGCAGCCGCAGTGCCAGCCCAGGGAATGGCTCCTGCCTGCTCCGCACTCAGGGAAACAGCCCAAAATAAAACCAAACTCTGGGCCATTGCTGAAGAATTCCTCGCTGGCCGGCGAAGGAAGGCAGCTGCGAGCTGAAAATGCTCTCGAATTTCCCTTTGGGTTGCTGTGCCTCTTTCACTTTTCGCTGCTGAAGAACCAGGTAAGATTTGTAAGATTCTGCCTTTTAACAGAAGATTCTCAGTTATCATTTTGAAGGAGTTTTTTGTGTATCGAAAAAATATGGGAAGTTTTTAGGAAGTTCACTATCTGACTCTTAACAGGTGAACATAATAGGATGAGCATTGTCAGGGATTATCTGGCCTTCAGCATGAGACATCAAGAGTCCTGGTTTCTTAGCTACCTCTATAGCTAATTTCACTGTCTTCTAAATTCAGCATAGCATATGTTGTGGGTTTACCTCTAAAAACTTTCTGAGCTCTTTGTTTCTGTGCATTCACCGCTAAATTACAGCGCTTTGATTCATTTCAAGTACTTTTAAATGCTTTTGTCTTACTTTGGTCTCAAATAATGAAATATAATGTAACACTTGGTATACATGAATTGGAAATCAATTAACAGTTTTCTTTTCAGGTTTCTGGGCATGCATACATTTAAGGACAGTATGTCTGACAACAAACAAAATAAGAGGAGAAGCAAAAAAGGTAGTCTAACCCAAAGCTTATGTGTTGAAAGTGTAAAATGTAGATCTGAAGCTGGAAAAGTACAGTAACAACTTGAAATTTGGCTATTTGTCAAAACTTAGCAACCATAAAAAATACAAAATCAAAGTCAGAGTACGTTTCTACCTTTGTAAAGGCCTAAGATTTCGTTTATTTTTCAAATTTTTAAATGCTCCTCTACTTCTGTAGAGTTTCTGTCAATATTTGTTTTCTGTTTCTATTCTCCTGATACAGGAGCTGTAACTGGCTTTTTAAAGATGTTCTTTGCTTTTGTAGCACATTGAATTAATAAACTTACCAAAGAAATAAAATAAATTCAAAGTTTTACATTAACATATCAATAAATTACAAGAATTAGTGAAATGTAACTTGCTCTTGTTTCTTTTCCTGATACCTCTTTATAATAATATTTTAATGCCCCAAAATAACTGCATTTGCCACGTGTTACTGGAATTAATCTGCTTTTATGCAAATATTGATGTATTACTGCAGGTTGTGGAAGTGTTGTTGCTTTTCAGAATGCAGACAATATAATGGAAGAAATGCATCAGTCAGACAAAGCTCTAGGAAAAACCAGGTAAGAAGCATCACTATTGAATTTGCATTTGGGTGTGCACAAATAGGAGCAAAGAAGGTAGACTGAATAAGAAAAATATTTTCACATTATTTATGGCTCTATATGTTGTGTAGTGTTTGTCTCTTCCCAATATCAATTATTGGCCACTGGAGGCAAGATATTGCATTAGGTGAACAAATTATTTGGTACAGTAAAGAAATATGGTATGTGGTTATTTGACTTATTAAATCCAGACAATAATCTTGTACACAGCTTTAAGAGTAACTTAGACTGCACTTTTGTACCTCTTTTCAGTCACAGTATTTATCTTTTTCCACACTTTTCATTATTCAGAAAACAGGTGGCACAAAACTGAGGCTTGTCCACAGAGCCTCTGTTTTTTCAGCAGGCCATAGCATATTTTGTTATTAACAAAGGCACATCTGGTCTTCAGAATTCTCTGACACACTCTCCTGATGATTCATAAAAACTCCACACTGGAAGCAATCAATTCTTGTCAAGAAGGGGAAGGTGAACTGAATGTTTTTAGGTTTCTCTTGTTGCTTGGTTGACATTGTTTGTCATTCAGTCTCTCTTGTAGTCAACCTCTGCATTGCAGTCTGCTATTTCCAGGGAGAGTCACAACCCCACAGATAAATAAAGAAATGACACTTTGGCATTCTGGGATCTTACAAACCTCTTGGTCACATTATTCACCAGCCACATGATTGAACTGGCTCCTTCCATTAATTTTGCTCTGTATTTTGGTTATTTTTATTTTGCCTTTTAGCCAAACTGCACCAACTTCCAGAGTATGGCCAGACCAACAAGTGGAATGTTTTCCAAGTAAAAATCAGACAACATTACCCAGGAGACATCACACTTCTTTATCTTTCTCCTCAAAGAAAGAGGATGTGGGATGTGGCTTTGACTTCAGCTTTCTGCTACAGACCTCATGCCCAGAATCTAAAATTTCAACAGCATTTATGGATTTAGATACTTTCCAGATAATAAAAGCACAAATGCAACAAAGTAAGTTCAGTTTTAAAAGTCACAAGTTTTATATATAGTTATATATTGGTTATCATATTGCCTTTATGTCTTTTGCTGTCTTCAGGGAGACTTCAGCCATGTTCACCCTCTTTTTTAATTATAAGTTTGTGTGTGTTTGCAGAATGAAGGAGATAAAGAGAAGCAATGACAAACTTCACCATTCCTGCTACTCTGTTGTGAAACTGAGCCACAAATGTGGAGTGTAATTCTCTGTGCCTGCAGTGATGACATCTTTCTCCCTCATACTGGCAATATTAATTAGTTACATACTGTGGTTAGCAAACATCTACAATTAGAAGCATTTTTTTTAATTATTAGTGTCAAAATATTTTAAAATTATAGGATTTTATTGTTTTCTATGGCAAATGGAATTGTGAAGTTCAGTATCACAATTAAGTTTCAACCTACAACTTTTTTCTGCACTACAGATTTATAACACAGTCCTGCAACCAGAGACAGATCCTTGATCCCCTGAACACTACAATTTGAAATTAATTTATAAATGTGAATTGTAGTCTGTTTAAGAACATCAAATTAATATTTCATTTGTTCTGATTTTTAAGGGTTAACTGTTACAATGCTAAAAACCAGGAACAAGAAATATGAGGTAAGAGAACCTTATGTATAAAATGATCACTGGCAAAAATATTATATCCGTTCAACATCTTAAAAATACAAATACTGAAGTAGTGTAGGTAGTTTGCTTAGTCTTAGTTGTTGTGGGTTTTTTTAAGAATGCAAAATATTTTAAAATTTATTTTATATATGTGTGTCAGCAAATCTTGAGGTGTATATCAACAAATTAGCAGTGAGATGTTACATCAGGGAGTTCTGGAGATAAAAGGTTGAAAGTTCAAAAAGATACAAAACCTTTAGAAATATGTAAGTTAATTAAAATGTGACTCCTATTTGTTAAATTAGATGTCTTGTTTTGCCAAAACCCACAACACTTCTTGGAAATGGTAATTTAAGATTGAAGTTGAATTCTAAAATAGCCTTGATATTAGATGATTGATGAAATTTACTGTGTTAGCAAATAAAAAAATAGTCTTTTAGAATTAAACATACTTTACATGAGATTTTGTGAAAAATGTAAATAGGATTACACAAAATTTTTGAACCTAGAAGCAGGCTCACAATTTTACATCTCGGTACTTCACACCATTTTAAATATACTGTATTTAGAAAAAAAGAGAATTTGGCCTTGATGTATATTAATTAATAGCCTTTTGTAGAAAATACTCAACTTGTTGAATCAGATATAAACTTCAGTGAAACCATCACAGAATACAACTGATCACAGGAAAAAAGTGAAGAGAATATAGAAGTTGGAGCAACAGTTCTGATACAGGATTATAAAAAGGGTTATGGAAGAAAAAAAAAAAAAAGAAAGCATTTCAAGTGGAGGGAAATATTTAAGAAAAATAATTTACCTGTCCTTGGTGTGATTTAATGCAGCTTTATTTCATGTATTGGGCTTTCTAGAGGTGTATCTTTTGGGATAAACTGAGCATTCATATTAATGAGCATTCATATTAATGCCATGCAGGCTGGACAAAGCCTTCAGAACTATCAGTTTCAAACCAACACATTGCTTTTCCTGCCATGTTCAAACCTCAGTTTGCCCTTGGAATGCAAACAAAAATTTCCTGCAGATTGCAAACTGATGTTGAATATAGACATGCAAATGAGCACTCAGAGCAGATGACTGGGTGATTATTTCTATTGCATTCATTTGCATAAAAATATTCATTTCCTATAAAGTAAAGAACAGAAATGCTATTTTCAGAAAATCATTCTCACTGTTCATCTGAATAGTCCAAACAAAATACTCAGTTCCTCTGATCTGTACTCCTTCAAATGTACCTGGTACCTTTCAACAAATGTGATGGGGAGCAGGGAGGAATAGTAAAACACATCCCTGACCCAACAGACTTCTGTGTCAGCTGCCCTTGGCTTTATCCATTTCACTTCACTGCAAACTGAGTGCAGACTGTGCTGTCTCCCAGTGCCCCTAAAACTGTGAGCTGAATCTGTGGCCATTTAACGTGGATCTATGTGTTTAGATTTAATATAATGTACCTTAAAGTCTAGAAATAATTTGTTAGAATTGTTTTCTCCAGGGATGCAATGGTCTTGTTTTCCTTTTGAAAAATTGCTTACATGAGCTCTGGTTCCATTGAGATTATAATTAATGGTGTCAGCACATGTTGGAGGGTTACATAAAGAGATTTTAAATCTCAGCATTAGAGTGGTGCTCTCATTCAGGGGGAGTGCTCAGTGAGAGAGGAGCTCTGGCACGTGAAGCCACTGCCCAGCCCCTGAATTCCTGTGGCAAACATGAAGTGCCACAAGACAGAGTTAATGACTGACAAGAGGGTTTGGACATGTGGACAAAACTTACTGGTTCTAAATCATGGAGAATGACTTGTGCCTTAAAGCAAAAGATCCCACTTTCTGAGCTAAGAAATACTTAGAAGTAGTTCTGGATCTGAGAAAATTAATGCAAATAATGTGCAAAAATAATGTATTTTCTCAGGAGTCTGATATTATACTTCATAATAGGTTTAAGATAGGAATATGTAAAATAATAATAATTTTCTAATTTTTTTCCTAAGTCTGCTTGTCTCTTAGTTTTTACCTTTATCTGTGGTGTAGTACACTATTAATGGTTTTTTATGGAAATTACAGTTTCATTTGCCACCAGTGACATGTCAATCTCTAAGAACAATTCATCTTGCTCCTCTAAAGGATGATATTTTCAATGAAAGCAGAAACATAAAAAATATTTTAACTATTATGAACTTTATTCCTCAGCCTATAAAACCAGTTACCAAATTTTATCAGTATCAGTTAGACAACTTATTAAACAGGCACAGTGAAAAGTCATCAGAATTGATCATGGCCACAATTTCTGATAAGTTCACTCCAGTGAAGGACCTGTACTACTTCAGCATTAATAACTGTGACAAGTACCTCAACCACAAGAAGGAAGAAATCCACAGCCATTTCAAATGGAGGGAGGCTGATGTAGGAATCCACAGTGGGAAGAAGAACCAGGTGAGATTCCCGTGCTCAGTGGTTTGTGAGAAGATCAATCTTGTGAGCCAAGCCAGGTTCTGGGGTCAGAGTCATCCCCACCTGAGCTCAGGCAGTGCTCTGGTGAACTGTGGCATTTTTACAGCCCAGGCAGCATTTACAGTGTCCAGCAACAGCAATGCCTCCAGAGCTGGCAAGAAGCAAAGCAGAGCAGAGAATTGCTGTAGCACTGGTCTGGAAGAAGGAAATGCTACAGAGATGATGCTGGATTATGAAGCACAGGAAGATGCTGAGAGTGCCAATCAGGATTTAGATTCTTCCTGTAAAAATGAAGTGATAGAGGCCTACCAAGCCTTGGAAGATAATTCTGTAGTTGCACTAATTCCCTTGAGAGTAGAAGCTCAAGATCCCTCTGGAAAACAGTCAGAAAATCAAGTCTGTCTCTCTGAACCTGAAATACAAAAAGAAGCAACATCAGCAGCAACTTCAGAGGACCAGAGTGAGCTTGTAGCTGTTGCTCATGCTATGCTCTCTGAGCAAGAGCCAGCCAGGGAGCCACACACTGCTGAAACACCTGCCACAAAAAAGGGTGGTGTCTGTACCCTGCCTCCTCATGTTCCTCAGAGCCTCAATGTTCTTGCTCACAAAGAAAATGACAAAAATAAACTAAAGATGAATAGAAATAAATATTCATTGAAATCTAAAATTAATAATAAGATAAAAGTGTCTGAAGACCTAATTGCTTCTGAAGAGGTTACCACAAAATCAAATGCCAAGAGTCAGATTTTCCCATCTCTGGAACTGACAAAAGTGAAATCTGAGGCTTCCATGAAGTGTCAGAAAAAAACCACTCAAGGACACAAAGGCCACGCTGCTCAGAGTGCTCAGAAAATTAAAAAGCAAAGTTGCTCCTGCAGTTGCAAAAATTCAGCTGTCTGTAAGAAACATGTTACTCCACTTTGTCTGCCACGTGCACCCTCTGCTTCAGATTTTGTAGATCTGAAGTACACTGACATGTTCAAGATAATAAATTCAGATGACCAAGGGCCAGGTATTTATGAGATGTTTGGAACTCCAGTGTATTCCCGCATGAGAGACCTCGATCAGCACGAGGACAGGTTTTACAGAGGTGGTTGTTCTGTTCCACCAGCAAGATGCACCTGCAGATCTGCCTGCAGTAAAGGGGGAGAAAGCAGCAGAGTCAGAAACACTCAAAAGAAAACACATTCCAAGCCAAAGAAGATCACACCTGGTGCTAAACAAAAGCAGAAAGGTTTGATCACAAAGGACAGAAGGACCAAGCCGAGTGACAGCAACACAGAGCAAAATAATGCAACAGCTTCTGACTTGGGTTTTCAAACACACACCTTGAGTGGCACAACGTTGTTCCATGGAGACATGGATCATCAGCTCACATTTTTAGAAGAGCTTTCACAGTCAAGTAAGCAAAATGAAATGTTTACAAATTCAAACCTCTCAACTATTAAAGAAGTTTCTTTGGAGCAGTTGTTAGACAGCCAGGATGAATCCAGCCATCAGAGAGCTGCTGCCTGCAGCCAGGATCTCCTTCAGCTCAGTGGTCGAGGCTGCAGAGAATGTGTTGCTCCAAGTGACAGTCTGGTAACAGCAGAGCAGGACATCTGTGTGCCCCAGGGCAGGGGGGACAGGGATGGTGGCAAAGGCTGGGAATCACACCAGGACTCCAAGCCTGTCAATAAATGTGAGTTGTCCTTTTCAGATAGACTGGAATGTCAGTCCCCTACAAAAATATTAGATCACAGTTGTGCAAACACACCTCAGAACAGTGGTTTGGCAAATGAATTGACTCAGGCTTCAGTGATTTGGACAGAAAATGCCAAAAGCCCCAGTCCCCAGACAAGTCAAAACATTTCTTCTTGGTCAGATGCTGAGGATGTGACTGATGAGTTGCTTTGTTGTCTGGCCAAAGAGTTGCTAATGCTTGAAGAAAAAGACACCAACTCTTCAAGAACAAAAAATACATGTTCTAAAATACGAAACACACAGAGTGAAGAAGAGGAGAATATGATGAATGGAGCTGGAGCAATAATAAATAGTGCTCTAGAGAAGGTAAAAGTAATTTCTTCTTGTAACTTGCTAAGTAATTAGAGTGATGCTTCACACAAATTTGGATGAAAAATGGGAAATGTGTGCTTATTAAAGAGATTTATCAAGTCTTTTTTCCTTGGGCCAGCTGCCCGCTGATTGTTCCAGTGCTCTGTTGAATATATCTGTGTTAGAGGCTGCATGTCAGGACACAAGCCAGAAGGTACGAGGGCATGACAGGAATAGCTGCCAAAGCTTATATAAATTGACAAATTGCAGTGAATAAAGAGAGTGGGCTGTTTGAAGAGCTTGTATAAAAAGGTTTTGGGCAAGGCAAGAGCTGGAGATGTGGACAGGAATATGAAAAGGTACTACAAATAGTCTTGCATATCCAGAAGGGCATTTACCTTGGGTCTCTGAGTGCAACCAGATACTTTTGTAGATATGAGCCATAAGTATTGGTTTATCAGACAGGCTTATCCAGTTTAATTAATTCTTAATCAAAACTTTGAGCTCAGAAGGCTCAGATTTTGGCCCCCAAGTCAGCTGCATGCCTTCACCTGCTAAGGTGTTTCTCTACCAGTACTGCTTCTCCTTGGTCCTGTTAGCTCTTTGTCAATATAAATTGCGAATTTATAAGGAAATGTCTTTCACTACATATTGATGCACTGCCTTGTGCTTCTGCAGCCACAGGTGCCAATTACAGCTCTGTTCTCACTTCCCCCAGGGAGACCCATGGCTAGATGGGATAATTATTGCCATCTTTCTGAAGCAGTCTCTTCTTCCTGGGAAGTCATGGCCTGTTATTTTCACCAGACTTGTGTTGCATGTGTTACTTAGAGCGCGATGATAGCCATATTCAGCTTAGCAAACTGTGAGACCAAAAAAGAGAGTGTATCCTGCTCTTTTAAGTGATCTTCTGTCTTGGTGGCAATGGAAGATGTCATGTTATAACCTTCTGGTTATGCACTGTTGTGATTTATACTTGAAAATATTTATACAGTTTTACCTATATAGCAACTCTATCAATGAGCTGAGCAATTTATATGCATAAAAATCTATAAATAAAGTCATGCCAGGAAAAATTATTCCTTATGAAAAAGGGGGGACCAAATGAAGCCTGTCTTTTCCTCTCTGCTTTCTCCCCACACTGACAATCATCTTTCTAGCAGAGTTACAGTAAAGCCTTTTTGGCTTCAAATGAAGAAAAGGGCCTTCTAAACTTTGATGAATCTACTAAATTACCAAGAAGCAGTTTAGCTTCCAAAGATCCTATCATGTGGACAAGAGGAGAAGTCCTTGGAAGGGGAGCCTATGGCACGGTAAGTTAATGTCTGAATATGCTGAGATGTGTTGGTCATCGTTGAGCTACACCTTATTTTAAAAATAGCTGTTGTCTTAGTTAAGAAATGGGTTAAATATTTTGGATTACACAGTGAGATATGAAACATGAAAAGCACAAAGCTTTTATGTAAAATAAGTAAACACACAAGTTTTGTCTCGTGTCCTGTTTTGATAAGTGCTGGTTTCACTGCAGGTGTACTGTGGTCTGACAAGCCAGGGACAGTTAATAGCTGTAAAACAGGTGGCTTTGGACACATCAGATCAACTCACTACAGAAAAGGAGTATCAGAAGTTCCACGAGGAAGTTGATCTTTTGAAGACATTGAAACATGTAAATATTGTAACTTATTTAGGAACTTGCCTGGAAGACAACATTTTAAGCATATTCATGGAGTTTGTTCCCGGTGGCTCCATCTCCAGTATTCTGAATCGCTTCGGGCCCTTGCCAGAAGTTGTCCTGTGTAAATACACCAAGCAAATTCTACAAGGGGTTGCATATTTACACGCCAACTGCGTGGTGCACAGAGACATCAAAGGCAACAACGTGATGCTCATGCCCACGGGGGTGATCAAGCTGATCGACTTTGGCTGTGCCAGGCGCCTGGCCTGGGCCAGCCTGGGCGGCACGCGGGGCGAGCTGCTGCGCTCCGTGCACGGCACTCCCTACTGGATGGCTCCAGAGGTCATCAGCGACTCCGGCTACGGCAGGAAGTCTGACATCTGGAGCGTGGGCTGCACCGTGTTCGAGATGGCCACAGGCAAGCCCCCTCTGGCTTCCATGGACAGGGTGGCGGCCATGTTCTACATCGGGGCCCACCGCGGGCTGATGCCGGCCCTGCCCGCTCGCTTCTCCAGCGCGGCCGCCGAGTTCGTGCACGCCTGCCTGACCAGGTAGGGAGAGCTGCAGAATGGAAGGGAAGATGCAGGGGGGTTGTGTTCTGGAGATGGCTCATGGGAGCTTAGGTTGTGGTACATATGGTTTTATTGTAAATGCATGGGCTTTTCAGCTTTTCTGGAAAGCCTTTTATCTATATCTATATATCTATATCTATATCTATATATCTATATCTATAGATCTATATCTATATATCTATATCTATATCTATATATCTATATCTATATCTAATCTATATCTATATCATCTATATCTTATCTATATCTATATCTATATCTATATCTATATCTATATCTATATCTATCTATATCTAATCTATATCTATATCTATATCTATATCCATATCCATATATCTATATATCTATATATCTATATCTATATCTATCTATAAGAGCTTTACTCTTTATAATCATACAAAAAAGCCCTCACAGATTCTCTTTTTGCAGGCCTTATACTCATCATTTACTTTCCCCGTAATTTTCATGCATAAACATGGCACCGTTAAATCTTGGACAGAACCTTTGATAAATTTCTTTGCTGTGTTTTGCTGTTCCAGTATTGCTTGAGTGTGGTCTATGTCAGACAAATTGTTTTAAAGACAGTATTCTAAATGGAAGTGGAATGGAATTAAGAGAGAATTTTTAAGAGTCTTGTTTTAAAATGTGTTAAGTGATACCCACCAATTAGAGTTCAGGTTCTGGCCAAGCTCTAGCTCTGCTTGGATGGAATCATTGACAATCAGCCCAGATGTTTTCTGCATCAAAAAGTATCCAAGCCCTTTGGGCTTGAAGTCTAAGTCTAAATTAAGTCTAAATGGACTTAATTCTTGTCTTCTGCAGTGGAAAAATCTAGTATCACTGCCAGTCCAGGAAACACCTACTTATTTGAAACATAACATTTATTAGAAACATAAAGTTCTCTCTGTAAAACCCCAAACCACTAGCATTCACACATTATAAGAACGATTTTTGTGATGTTTGTTTTGTTTTAAACAAAGCCTGGGCTTCTTAAAATGTATGACATTGATTGGAGATGACAGAACAACCTGACTGACAGAGGCTTAAACAGATAATTATTGCCTGTCTTAAATACATTGTTGGTGCACCTGAAATAGCCAGTTCAGCAGAATTATTCAAAGATTTGCAAGGAATTCAGGGGAATAAGTAATGATTTCTTTAACAATAAAATATTTCCATTTTATAATTCATAAATTCCAACAGTCTTTTCCCTTCAAGCCTCCCTTCCTTTCTATCAACTTTACAAAAAAAAAACCCCAAAAACCTAAAAACGAGTAGTGAATTGATTAATAATAATATTAATAATAATAATAAAGGCTAATTTTGCAATTAGGTTTTTACAGGTTTTTGAATTAGGTTTTACATCGCAGGCATAGATATTAATTTTATATATTGATTTGTGGAACCTTCAATGCAGAGATCAACACAAACGGCCTTCTGCTCTGCAGTTGCTGGACCATCCCTTTGTGAAAGGAGGACAGTGAATTTTTCCAAACTCTTGCCAAATGAGCATGTATTTTCCATGGAAAAGATTTTCCCTTGTGGAAAAAAGACCAGAAGGAACTGGATTTTAATATGACAGCAGAAATACTGGAGAGCAGTCGTGTTTAAGGAGCCTGTTACTGGGCAGCAGTGATTAAAGAGTACCTGTTCTGCAGTGCCTTCCTTCCCTGTGAACACAAGGCCACGTTGTGTTGTATTTGGACAGACTTAAAAGGAAAATAAAGTCACCATCACTGGCATGCAACAGGCCAGGTAAGCTGGAATGTCTGTAAAATCCTATGGAACAAGGTATGGGCAGAGAGCTCTGCAACTTGGAGATGAGTAATGAGTGTGAGGAACCTCAGGTCATCTACTGGCATAAAATGTACTGAGGCTTTTATTCAGTCAGGTCACCCTTTTGTTTTACTGGATGGGCACTTCAGTTTTTAGCTGGTGAATGAGTTTTTTAGGTGCATAGATCAGCCCTGTGTTCCTGAGGCCCTGAAACTCCACAGGATACTTTGTAAGAGATAATGATGTAAGCCATGGGACTGCCTGTTTTAAATAAATAGTGCATTTTATGGCACTTTGAGGTCCCAGAAGGCTGAGGTTGGAAGGGGCTCTGGAGATGTTCTGGTCAGCCCCAGTGCTCAGAGCAGGGCTGGCTGCAGCAGGTTGCTCAGCCCTTGGCCCATTGGTTTGAATATGGATGGAGACTCCCCAGCCACCCCAGGCAGCATGCTCCAGGCTTTAACCCCCTCATGGTAAAAGGGATTTTATGGTTGAAGACTGTCTTATAAGTCAAGTTGTCCTGTTGTCCCTTGTTCTGTCACTGCTAGAGCCTGGCTGTGTCTTCCTTTACTCTCTGAAAACCTGAAGTGTTTCTCTGACCACTGCAGTGGGCACTGCCTGTGACTGGGTGACAGAACAGAGCCCCTCTGCACTCCAGGGGTCTGTACACTTGGTAGAACTAACTACTACTAACTGCACAAAATTAAATAAAATCTAAAAAGGATTGTTAATTATTAATAAAGCAAAAAAGCAGGTGTTAGTATTTAGAATGTCCTTTTGTTGATAAAGCTTCTTCCTATCAAGATGTGGTAAATCTTTAGCCTTTGTCAGCAGCTGGGCTCCAGGAAGAGAGGCAGGAAAACTCAGCCCTACAACTGTTCAGAGCTGAGCTCTCAAGAATCCAGGACACTGACCTCAGTGTCAGCTCTGATGTAATGTGAACATTATAAAAGCAACTTTCCTCAGAGTGCTAAACACATCTTAGTTACTTAAACTGCTTTCAAACTTTATTTTATCCCAGTAGTCAGTCTCCTGACTTCAGAAAGTTGAGTCTAAACTTCATAAAAGCAAAGAGAAATCAGTACTTCTAGCAAAATTCTTTATTAATAGTTTCTGTAGGTATAATGTCACATAACAATGACAGAACATTATGCCAGTATAAGAGAAATCCTAACATCACAGTAATCTTCAAAGTTCAAGCAGTTAACAGTCCTTTTTTGAGGAATATTGATTGGTGCTCATGCCAGACATCCATGGCAACATCATGTTAAAGTATCTTCACGTTAAGGTACCTTGCAGAATAAAGGCAGGAGCCTGGGCATGTGAGCTCTAGTGGGATGTACATAATTCCATCATGTGTACTAATTCTTCTCAGATTAAGGTAGAGTCTTCAACAAAGCTGCAAAGTAAATATGAGGGTTTATTTAGCATGAAATGAAACTGAGATGAGAGTCATAAGCAAGGAAAGAATGGGAATGCTCTAGAATATATAATTAATTTAAAAAGGTCAGCATTACAAACCCCCCTTCTTATGCACAGCTTACAAGCAAAACTAACATCTCTTGTTGGAGTTCTCCAATATTAAGGTTACCAGTTATTTGCAATCTGTCATGTTTAATCCAGTCAATTACACTGAAAATAATCATTAGAGGTTTGTAAAACTTGAACCTGAGGTTTTAATCAAAATGTAAAAGCACATTTTTGCTTAACCAGACTTCAAGAATGAGGTGTCAGTTTAAGGCCAGCACTTGCAAGAAAGGTATTTCAGTTTAATCAGAGCTGTGCTCGCAGCAGAGCTCAGGGCCCAGCACAGCTAAGCCAAGCCCTGTGTTCATCTGGGGAGCCCTGGGTCACTTGGCTGAGCCAGTCTGGTGGAGCAGCCTACAAACAAGTCTAATTTTGCATATTTCTTACTTGAGGAGATCAGAGATTTCCGCACCAAAATCCAGGTGCCTAATTCCAGGTATCCATTGTAACAAGGGGAAAGGGTGTGAAATCTTGAAAACTGCTTGTTTTTTTCATGAGACTGAACTACTCAGTGAGCAGGGTCACAATTTGCTTCATTATTTATAGCAGAGCAGGGCAAGCTTTGCTGGTTTAAAGGCTACACCTTCCTTTCTGACACCAGTAAGGAGCCATTGCAGTGCACGCAGCCTGCCAGGCTGTGGCTGCGGCTTTCCCCAGGATTTGGAGCCCAACTCCCGCAGCTGAGGGCACAGCCCTGTCCCGTGTGAGGGCAGGGGCAGCCGGGCTTTCTCTCCCCGCAGCGGGACCGGGGCTGTCGCCTCAGCAGGGCGGGGCCAGGGGCAGGCCGGCCCCGCTGTTACACTGCTCTGGAACTACCACCAGCAGTGGGAGGTAAAGATTTGCATCTAAAAATGCACACATCTGCCTCTCTTTCCAAGGAAGCAGAGCCTGGTCCCCGAAAACTCTAGAGTCTCTTGAGATTATTTGGGTTCAAATTTAGTGCTGTTCCAGAAAGCTCCGCAGGAACCCATGCAATTCCTACAGCACTGCTATCAAAGCTCTGGCTCTTGCTCACAGCAAAGAACCAGAGTTCTCCCAAGGAAGGGCCCCAGGACACACTCCAGTGCCTTCCCCTCCTATGGCTCCCTTCCCACAGGGACTGCACCACGGGACAGCTAAGGAATTTTAGAGGTTTCTCAGAAAACACAATGTCTGAACTATGGCAACATCAGTGTTGCTGTTACAAGTGCAGGAGTATAGGGGAGTCAAACCCCCACACTGAGTTTCAAGGTTATCGATTTAGTTTGGATTTAGGTTGGAGATCCACTTCAGAAGCCAGAGAAAGTCACTCCCAGTAGCAATGGGAGAGAAGACTCCTGGCACAATTATCTCTTTAAGGTGTAAGGAGTTAAGCCTTTCAGAGAAAGGAGGAATTAACTAGCTACTTCAGTCTGACATAACTTCCAAAGCTCAAGACATAAATTTTTAGAACTGATTATGTGCATTTACATCAAATTAAAGAAAGCAAACAAAGTCCACTTTC